TGGTAGGTGTGGAGTGATAACTCATTGTAGTTTTAATTTGCATTTCCCTGATGTCTAATGATGTTGAACATCTTTTCAGGTCCTTATTTTCCATCTGTTTTTCCTCTTCAGTGAACTGTTTGCTTTGTGTCTTCTTCCCATTTTCTAATGGAATCATATGTTTTATACTATTGAATTTTGGACAGTCTTACTTATTCCAGATACTGTTTCTTTAGTGGATAAGTGGTTTTCAAGTATATCCTCCCAGTTAGTGGCTTTTCTTTACATCCTCTTCACTTGAACTTTCACGGAGCAGAAGTTTTAAATGTTGATGCAGTCTGGTTTATCAGTCCTTCCTTTTAAAGACCATTCAATTGGTGTCAAGTCTAAAAACTCTTTGCCTAGCCTTACATCCCAAAGATGGTTTCCAATATTTTTTAAATAAAAGTTCTATAGCTTTATGTTTTACATTTAAGTTTGTGGTCTATTTTGAGTTGATTTTTAAACTGAGTAAAGTTTCAGTTGATTTTTTTTTTTTCTATCCTTCCATTGAATTGCATTTTTTCAAAAATCAGCTGAGCCCATTTTTGTAAATCTATTTCTGGGTTCTCTGTTTCGCTCTATGGATCTATGTGTCTCTCCCTGTGCCACTACCGCATGATCTTGATCATTGTAGCTATATTATAAGCCTCAATATTAGGTAGAGTGATTCTTCCTGCTTTGTTTTTAGTCTAGATTGTTTTAGGCATTCTAAGTCCTGTGTCTTTGCATATAAATTTTAGAATAAGCTTGTCTTTATCTACAAAACAGAAAGAACAAACCCAAAACCATGCTGGTATTTTGATCCGAATTATATAAACTTATACACTCGTGTCACTTAATGACAGGGATATGTTCTGAGAAATGCATCATTAGGTGATTTCATCAAACATCATAGTATGTACTTATTATACTCAGATGGCATAACCTACTACATACCGAGGCTGTATAGTATAGACTGTTGCTGCTAGGCTACAAACCTGTACAGCAGATCACTTTACTTAATACTGTAGGCAACTGTGACATAGTGGTGAATATTTGTGTTTCTGAACATATCTAAGCATAGAAAAGGTACAGTACAATATAAAAGACAGGAAATGGTATATCTATACTGAACACTTACCATGAATGGAGCTTGCAGAACTGGAGGCTGTTGTGGGTGAATTGGTGAGTGAGTGATGAGTGAATGTGAAGGCCTAGGACATTATTGTACATTGCTGTAGACTTCATAAACACTGTACACTTAGGCTACACTGAATTTATAAAAATATGTTTCAGTAATAAATTACTCTTGGCTTACTGTAACTTTTGTATTTATAAACTTTTTAATGTTTTATAAATTTTGACCCATAATAACACTTAGCTTAAAACACACATTGTAAAGCTTTACTAAACTGTTTTCTTATACACTTATTCTATAAGCTTTTTAATTTTGTTTTCTTTTTAAGTGTTTTTGCCAAAAACATTTAAAAACACACATGTTAACCTAGGCCTACACAGGATCAGGATCATCAATATCACTGTTTTCCACCTCCACATCTTATCGCACTGGAAGATCTTCAGGGGCAATAACATACATGGAGCTGTCATCTCATATAATGACAATGCCTCCTTCCAAAAAACTCCTGAAGGACCTACCTCAGGCTGTTTTATGTTTAACCTCTTTTTTTTTAATTTGTAGAAGTAATATATTCTAAAATAACAAAAAAATTATAGCATAGTAAATACATAAACCCCTAACAATTGTTTGGTATCATTCTCAAGTATTATATGCTATACATAATTGTATATGCAAAACTGTGACTGGCAGCATAGTAGGTTTTTTACACCATCACCACATATACAGGAGTAATATATTTCACTACTGTATCATGATGGCTATGATGCCATTGTTGTAAATATGGTCTGGCCATGTATGTGGTCCACCATTGACCGAAATGTCGTTTTGCAGCATATAACAGTGTATTAATTTGGGAAGAACAGCAATTATGTTGAATCTGACAATCCATGTACATAGTATGTGTCTGCATTTATTTAAGCCTCTCCTTTTTTTTTCTTTTTCATTAGCATTTTGTAATTTTCAGTATACAGATCTTTTGCATGTTTTGTTATGTGTAATTCACCTGAGTATTTTATTTTATTTGGAACAATTGTGAGTGGTTTTGAGTTTTTAATTTCAGTTTTTACATTTTTATTGTTAGTATGTACAAATTGTAACCTGTAATCTGCTTAGCTCCCTTGTATTTCTGATGCTGGGGTGGAAAGCACTTGGTCTTTCACCATTAAATATGATGTTAGCTGTAGTTACTTGTAGGTGTTCTTTATCATCTTAGTTTGTTTTTAAAGTTCAAAATTGGGCTATATATAGCTTGACTTACATTTGGGTGACACTTGTAATCTTGCACTAGATATTTCAATGATCTGAAACTTATTAGACATTGACACTACTCTTTTCCCATAGTTCCTAGTGTTGCAAAGAAGGAGAAAAGTCTCGCTATACCTTGACTGTAACATATATGTTCTTATACATCTATGTTGCTCCATCTGCCTCAGAAAAATGCCCACCCTGGCCCTCTGACTGCTACTGCTACTGCTACTGTCCGTCTGCTTGGCCGGGTTCTGCTTGTTAAAGCCTTGGTTATACCTGTAGATTAACTACGCAGTCCTCTGTATACTTACCCCCTTTTCAGCAAAGTGCCACTTAAAATGTGCCATTACGATTAAGTTATTTTTCTTTGTTTCCTGATGCTACCTCCACGAACTGGCCATATCAGATATCTAGAATAATATTCCTTGCACTCATGCACTGCAGAAAGAGTATCAATGCATGTATCTAGACCAATGGGAAGATCTGTGCCAGCTATATTTGTGCTTAGGCAAAAGAGATTTTACCTTTGGGGGAGATATTACTGGTTTCCCTAGAGCTATTCTATACTTTGTTGCATATTCTAGCTAAAATCAGTGATAGAAAACTTCCACACCGTGAAATAATATATGGCAGAAGATAACTAGGAATTGGACAGGAAGTCAGCAATGATGATACATACTTGATCATCAAAAAATAATCTTGGGAAATTCCATGTATGAGCTACATTCTGATATGATGTACTGCCCCATTTAGCCATTGGAAAACATTTGGGTGGTCCAGTTTTGCAGTTCTAACTCAGTTAGTTACATTCCAGAGGCTTAATGTTTTGAGAATGTTGCATTTTAGTTACAGATTTTACAATACTATGTTATCGTATAATTTCTGCTGGATAGCTTGTGGTTAAAATAAGTCCATCAACTGTTTTTTTCTCCTTTATGGGCACACACAAGAGAGTTTTGCTGAATCACTTTACTCCATGTTTAAAACTTCGCAATTTAATACTACTTTTCAGTAACAATAATATGAGGCACATAGGCCCTCTTATTTCTCTCTGATATACTGCTATATAGTCCTTAGAATATCCTTAAATGTCTACAGGTTCTGGTTTTATCAATTTGAAGGTAATTATTTTGCTTTTTATATTTTTCAAAGAAAAGTTGAAACTCTCCAAATTGTATTCTAAAATACATCTCCTGTTTCACTCTGTATAGACACCACTTAGGCAATTTATATAAGCCCTTAAGAGCTGTGAAATCAGTATATTCTTTCAGAAATTGACAGTGCAATTGTTCTGATACAGAAAGTGACACCATAGAGTATATTAACTGTGTAATTCACAAGCATTTTTTTTGTAAGTCAGAGTTTAGAGAAACAGATCTTTCTTCCTCTTTCCCTATAGACTAAAGCATTTTTAAAAACGAAGTCAACAGAATTTTCTCTCTCCTGTAATTTAAGTTGGAAAGAATGAATCAGTGTTTGCTGTACTGGATTGTCATTGGAAGAAATTAAATGTTCTCTAAAAATAACCGCTGGTAATCAAAATAGTATTTGCCCTTGATTGCTATTTTTTTTTAACTTTTTTAAACACTTGAAAAATTCTTTGGATATTTATAATTATTTTTAGCAGCTATAAATAAAAGGGAATATGCTGATTTAAATTACTGTTATCCTTTGAATTCTACGTACTTGGTAATTTCCAGTGACAATATATCTTCTACAGAGCCCTTCACAATATGGGAAAAATAGGACTTGTACTCAGAAACTGAATATTTTCACATATTTTTGTAAATAAAAATAATTATAGGTAGAATAAAATCTATTTAGGCTATTTATGATAGAATATTTTAGGAGGGAAATTCATGAATAGTTGGTCATTTTTACAAGTTAAAGTTGAAAGTATTCATGACATGGTGAATCACTGGTGAATGTGAAAGTCATATTTATGTATATTTTTGATTTAGGATATTTCATTTCCTTTTTTGAATTATATTATCTGGTTGGTTCATTCTGATATACACTTTGCCTTTGGATAGTTTATGCCATTTTTGACACTATTTCAGCAACATGGGATCAGTGGGTATATATTTATATTGTATTGCTGAATTTCTAGAAGTTTTAATAAAGAAATCAGCTTTTCTACCTCAAAGCAAATAGTTTTCTCTCTAGGTTCTTGGAAAGAGATTTCAAAATTGTTCTCCATGCAGGAACAGAAACCCAAATAGTGTATGTTCTTACTTATAAGTGGAAGATAAATATTAGGTACTTATGACCGTAAAGATGGCAGCAATGGACCCTGGGGACGACTAGAGTGGGGAGGAAGGGAGAGGGGCAAGGATTAGAAAACTACGTACTGGGTTCCGTACTCACTACCTGGGTGATAAGATCAATCATACCCCAAACCTCAGCATTACACAATATAACCACATAACAAACCTGTACATGTACCTCCTGAATCTAAAATAAAGGGTGAAATTCTAAGTAAATAAAAATAAAAATTTTTAAAGAAAAGAAGCAAAAAATAAAATTGTTTTCTAAGAGAAAGGAAGGTCTTGGTGCAAAATTTGTCATTTAATTGGCCTTGCTGAAATTCAGTTTTGTTTTATTTTCAAATCAGATCTTGAAAATTTTAAAACCAAAATGAGGAGTACAGTGTCTGTGCGTGAAGGCCAGGGAGTTGTGCTGCTCTGCGGCCCCCCACCGCACTCTGGAGGTAAGTCAGGCTCTGTTTCTGCTTTTCATATTTATTAAGGTTCAGGGCAAGGCCTGCAGCGCATGTACTGTTATTGCATCTGTAAATTACTCTGAGAAACTTGATAACCTGGGCATTAGATTCTGTCAGCTGAGTTGGAATATGAGGAACTCTACAAAAAATAGTCCATCCAGAGAAGTTTCTAAACAATTGACTCATTGACTTTTGGGGTTTTAAAGACAAGAGAGATCATATTCGCTTCAGTTACCTAATGGTGCTAAACAATGCTTTGTCATTACACCAGTATCGTTTGCTTTTTAGTTTTATGCCATGTCAAACTGGATCTTTGCTGTTTGTCTGCCTCTCTTTCTCTCTTTCTCTCTCTCTCTCTCTGTCTCACATGCACACAAGCTTATTAGTATGTGCCAATAAGCCTCTTTATATATGTATTTTATATATATATATATATATATAAATGATATGTGTGTATATTCACATCATTTACATTGGGGCATTGGAAGTGCAAATTTTGTGCCATATTGGTATAAATTGAAATATTACTAGAAATTCAGAACCTTACCAAGATAGTGACCCAGAGTAAAAATGAACTTCAGCACATATGAAAATAATTGGATTATCTCTCCAGTATGAGCCTAGAGTGCTGGTTTGATTTTCCTATCATGCTCTCTATTACAAATGTGGTCACTTGCAGGAACAAAGAGGGCATTATTAATGAATAAATCACTGTTCTCAGAGAAACACACATTTTGTTATTGAGAGGATGAGAATTACTGGGAGATAAACAAGTTAGAGTGGATCTTTCTGACCAGAAGCAAAACTGAGAAGTCTACTTGTCATTATAGTAAAACTTACTCAAAGGAAAACATGCTGGAATTTATTTGTTCTGTGCTATATAAATTACAGTCCTTTCCACCCAAGGAGTTGTCAGTTTTGATCACAAACCCTCAGCCCAATAAAACAGATATCTCCCATCTTCAGGATCTGGCCACTTGAAATTTGTGAACCATCTGGAGCCTGCAGACTTGGACTTGAGTAACAAATAGGATTGCCAGCCATCACGTGATCTGCTGTGGGTTTAAATTGTGTTCTCCAATTTATTTCAAGGGTGTCCATAATTGCTGAAATCTTGACGTTTCAGAAGAACTTTAACTTTGAAGGAAAGCATGGAGCTTCTTGATTGCAAACAAACTAACTGAAGTCAAACTGTCTTGACAAAAAATTGGGAGTTTGCAGGCTCACATAACTGGGATGATTAAGTGGCTTCTAGTAGCACTGTGTAGTTTTACAAAGACATATGCCATCAAGAAGGACATGCTGTCTCGCCATGGGGTGTGGGGTTAGTGGATGGCCACCAGCTCTCACTCCTTCCTGGTCTGCCCCAGCTGCAGAGAGACACTTGCCCATAGTCACACCCCTCTTGAGGAAGGCCACATCTAGTGACTGAGCAAGGCTGGGGTATGAAGGATCAGCCATTTCTGACCAACACTGGTCATTTCTGATTGAATCCACAGCTTCCTGTCAGGATGACCATGTCTTTGTTGGACCACATCACAGTTCAGTTTCTTTCTCTTCCCAGTTGAATCCTAGTTTTCTCCTTTCATGGGTTTTGATCATTGATTAAAAGCTTATAGTCCAAACTCTATTTAGGGTCTGCTCCCTGAAAACCCAATTTGTTGGATTCAGGGATTGAACCAATTTCATAAACAATCAATTTTTCCCTATATTTCTTGATTCCACTTCTCTCCATATTGCCTCCATTCCCATGTATATTCCTTGTGGGGGCAAAGGTGGCCTCTGACAGCTCTAAGCTCTGTGATCCTTAATGCTAAATATCCTAATGAAGCAGACATCCTATTTCTCTATGGCTCCTGATTCTTTTAGAATCAGCCTTATTTATGGGAGCCCTGAAGCTGAGGGCTTGAGTCAGTCGACCTACTGACAAGCACTGGAATGAGAAAGAAGCAGTTTCCAAAGGAAGTGTTTTATTATGAGAAAAAAGAGGGAGGTATATTAGACAGAAATAAATAATTGCTAAAACTACATCTAGGAAGGAAGTATCAAAATAATTTAAATTTATATTGTCTCAAATGGACATAAAATAATTGCTGGATAGTCTTGGTTGTGATCAGTTTTATAGGTGTTGACCCAATTTAAAATTCCAACTGAGTGGTTTTCTTTAAGTGTTATTATGATTAGATACATTCACTGATTGGAAAGGAGGAACTTTTTGGTTGGCTAAGTATGCACACATTGAACATGTCTTAGCAAGCTGTTGGATAAAGCATGTCCCAAAAGATAAATCTATTCAAATGTTATAAAATTGGAGAACTGTTAGCCCATCACACCTATCCTAAGTAAAGATACCCTGATTTTTCTCTGCCTTTGGTGACTTTCAAAGGTAGTCCTTTCATTTTATCTTTTTTTTTTTTTTGAAATGGAGTTTCACTCTTGTCACCTAGGCAGGAGTGCAATGGCGCAATCTCAGCTCACAGCAACCTCCACCTACCGGGTTCAAGCCATTCTCCTGCCTCAGCCTCCAGAGTAGATGTGATTAGAGGCATGTGCCACCATACCCAGCTAATTTTGTATTTTTAGTAGAGACGAGGTTTCTCCATGTTGGTCAGGCTGGTCTCAAACTCCGGACCTCAGGTGATCCGCCCGCCTCGGCCTCCCAAAGTGCTAGGATTACACGTGTGAGCCACTGCGCCCAGCCGAGTCCTTTCATTTTTAAAACACTAGGTTGGGATAACAGTGGAAGTCAAATAGGTGAAGGTGGGAAGAAATCTTCCCAGATGAACCCAGAGCATGCATAGGAGAGCAAATAGCATTGACCAAAAGCATACTTCCCTCAGTTCCAGATTGTGCAGACTTAGATGCTAAAAAATGTGGTGCTCGTTGGTCCAAGTGTCTGTAATGCTGAGGTATTCACAATTCACATCCACTGTCTTAACACATTGGCTTATGAGCTTCTTGAGGACAGGCCTATGTTGGTGTTTGTCTGCACCCAAGAGTCTAGTACAAGGCTGGTTTGTAGCAAACAGTAAATATTGGTTGAAGAAATGAACACATTCATGTAAGGAATACGTTTTTTAAAATTTGGCCAGTTATACATGCTTTTTGAGAGTTCACTGGAAACTTTGTGGAGACATAATCATTTAACAGCCAAAATGCCCTGGGTGCCAACCAGACAGGTGCAGGCATTGACAGATCAGAGTAAACTCTGTCCACAGCAGCTGGTATCAGCCCTGCTTCATCACCTTTTTGACTCATGGCCTTAAATTCAGTAGAGGGTGTGAGCCAGGTCAGAGAGCAGCTGAAGTTGTCACTCCAGGGTATACCAGTACAAGCAATGAGGGGTTAATCAGAGAGCTCATGGCCTGCACTGTGGCCCATTTGGTTTTCTTCCCACAAAGTCGCACAGTCCCTACAGGACACGTGCTTGCTCTTGTCTGTCTTCCACACTTTGTATTACCTTTATTCACTTCACATTTCTTCATTTCTTCATCTTGGTTCCTTCTCTGTGGTTAGAAATGTTTAAATTTGTTATTTTTATGATTACTGAAGATGCAATCATATTTTAATTGTCTGTTGTATTCCCTCTTGTATCAGCCTAACACAGTAAGCAAAGAAAGGCAGTAATAATAATCATAATAACCAGCTGGGCACAATGGCTCATGCCTGTAATCCCAGCACTTTGGGAGGCCGAGGCAGGCAGATTGCTTGAGCTCAGGAGTTCAAGACCAGCCTGGGCAACATGGTGAAACCCCACGTCTATCCAAAATACAAAAAATTAGCTGGACATGGTGATGCACACCTGTAGTCCCAGCTACTCGGGAGGCTGAGGTGGGAGGATCGCTTGAACTCAGGAGGTGGAGGTTGCAGTGAGCTGATCGTAACACTGCACTCCAGCCTGGGCAACAGAACGAGACCCTGTCTCAAAACAAATAAAAATAAAATAAAAATAATCATAATAGTATTAGCCTCTGTCTATTGAGTGTTGCTTAGATGCCAAGCAGTATTCTAGTCCTTTGTGGAAATTACCTTCTAGTGAGATTCTTTTTGGGTAAAAGTATGGGGAGGAAGATGAGTGACAATGTACAGTAGAGTCTGGAAGCTGAGTCGTGGAGATGCTAAGAGCGTGGGCTCTTAACCAGCCATTGCCTAGTGCCTTGAGCCCAGACTTCCTGCTTAGAAATGGCACATGAGTCACGAGGCCAGAAACTAAGCTTCAGCACAAAGCCCTCCAACTTTTATTTAGGGCTACACTTTGGGAATTTGCAAAGTGTGCCTCAGAGAGGAGGCGGCCAACCTAAAATCACAGAGCTGTGAAGAAGTAAAACTAGAACCTGGAGGCTCTGACTCATGACCAGGGCTCTTTCTAGTATGGCATGCTCTAAACCAGCACCCAGTTGCTGTTCTCCAAATGAGAAGGCACAGAGTCCTCAGCAGAAGTGACACTGTCCTAAGCCAAAAGCTTCTGACGTTTCAAAATTAGAGGCAGCACAGTTCATGGTTTTGTTTTAATTTTCCAGCCCATTGTTTAACACATCGGCACTGCTTAAAATCACATTAGAAGAAATATCCCCAGAGTTAACTAAATGTTTTGACTCATAATAAAATTGTGTTAAAATCTCCTCTTAGTGCAGTAAGTTTATAACTTTCTTTTGCTTATTTGGGATAAAATCCAGAAATGTTCTCCACAACTAGATTAGGAAGATAGTTGTGGAAAAGGCCTAAATAAGGATCCCAAAGTGTGGAAACTGCATATGTTAGTCATATTTCCTTAATTCATCTATGTAATTTATGAGATAGTATCAGCAACTTGAGGCAGATTTGCATAAGAGCATTTGCCATTTATTTGATACTATAATAACAAAAAAGCGTTTTATGGTGGAAGACAATGAGGAATTTTCCTAGGAATCCCTGTAACCTCACAGCAACAGACTGCTGTCATCTGAGAGGGTTCTTATCTCCCCATCATTCTGTGTCATTTTCTGCCA